AGCAGGAATCTCTTTGTGAGCCTAAGGGAGACTATAATAAGAAGAAGTTGGGGGCGGTGAGTAAACCTTTGGCTCTGCAGGATTTGCACTAGGAGAGGGAAAAACAAGTGTTCCTTCCTATGTCTCAGCACACAAAGGGCAATAAATTAATGCAAAATGGTTTTCTTGAATTTATGTCTGGATCTTTTTTCTGTAACTGGCTAAATAACATTATTATTTAAGTTACAATAAATAATAATATAACATTCAGAGCTGGTGAGATCAGGCCCAAAGCTCCATCATACTAGAACCAGATGCTGTAGAAAGACAGACCTGGTCTATACTACATAGGTGGGTTTTCTCCCTGCTTATATCTCTTCTGTAGTAATAGAAACCCTTATTTCTGCCAACAAAGTAAACCTGCCATTCTGAAAGAAGGTTTCTGCTGCTGCCTTGTGAAAAGGCCTATGTAGACAAGCCCAGTGTCCACTACTCAGTGCCTTCTGGTGGTTGACATGGTCCCTTCAACCACTTGTTCCTTCTCACAGTACACACTGTCCCTTGCCAGCACAGCTGTTGAGCCATATAGCTCTGGCAGCAGCTATGCAGAACCCCCAGAAACCATGGGGGTATGAGTGTCGTCTGGCAGCTTGGCTGTGGCAGCTGCTTTCTGTCAACAAATCTGGTGTCAACAGAAGCCCTCCAGTGTAGATGAGGCCATAGACCTGGGGCTGTATCTTAAAGGGGCTTCGGTATTAATGCTGAACATTACAATACCTAACTCTTAGAAATGCTGCTGCCCAGTGGAATTCACAGCCCTCATTTAGATGTCCTGGCCTCCACAGAATCCCTGCAGAAAGCTAAGTGTTTCAGAATGGGATTTTCAGAAGTTAACTCAGTGGGGAGCTGGCTAAATGCAACTGCAGTAAATGAGTTGGAGAGGGGTGGAGCCTAAGCTCTGCGATTCAAAGATAGGCAATTTAATTTTGGGTTGAACCTCTGTGAATAGCTTTAAACCCTCTTCTGGAGTTAGATGCCTAAGATAGAAAGCTTACCCACTTTGACAGCAATGGCTGCCTATACACGTGCTCAGGGGTGGGGGTTAGGGGGTGTGTTTTAATTACAGCAGTTCCCGGACAGCTGCTCTTAATTAAAATGGGTCAGTGTCATGTGTATTAAACCCCTGCACATTTAAAAATGCCTACGGGGGCGCTTTAGCTAAAGCTCGCCAAATGAGCTTTAGCTAAAGCTTACCTGCAGCCATGTGCAGGGGCTTAATACATATGACAGTGAGGCGATGCTAGAGCATGTCTGTAGGCACCCAATAACTGGAAGATCACCCCAGTATAACCAATAGCTTACTCACCTGGGACCCACCAAATCACTTTACCTGATTTGAAGATAGGAATTTTTTACGCAATGAATATTTTATTATTCATGCAAAACTTCATTTTCTGAATGACACTTTTAAGCAGGTTTAAAGCAGGCTGAATGCCTTTTGCACTGCTTTAATGGCATTGCTGTTTGTACATTCGGCAACATACTGCATATTAATTCTAGCTGCTGTAGCACATTTGGTGGCATAATGTGCCTTAAATGACTTTGGGATGCAGCAGTTGACTTTGGGGCACTGCAAAGTAAAAAACCTATGAGGAGTTTTAGTTTCCTACCCTACAGCCATGGAGGGAAGCACCGGGCTCCGTATGGCTCAGGGACTGTGCAGGCAGACCATGCAGGCAACCCAGCAGCAGCCTGGGAAGGCAGGCTCCTGATTTCCCACCCCCGCCTCCTCGCCCCCCGGAGCCTGCCTGTCTGCCTGCCTGCATGAGCTGTGCAGGGGCCTGGTGCTTCCCTCCAGAGCTGTGATACCCCCCCGCCAGATTGCCCAAGCCCGGTGGGTGCCTGCATGTGGGTGCCATCTTTGGGGGAGGGGGGGGCTGCCACTGCCACAGAAGAAGGCACCAGTCTCCTCGTTCCACCCCCTCCCCCCGCCCGCAGTTCAGAGACTGCTCTGCCCTCCAGCAGTTTGCTCTCCCTTCCCCACTGCTGGAGAGGCAGGTAAGGATCAGGCTCTGACATGGGTGTACACGACACGGGGGTTTACTACACCCTAAATTGAAGTGGTGTTTTTAAAAAAAACACTGCTTCAATGTAGGGAGAATTAAACCCCTGTGTTGTGCAAAGCCCCCCCCCCCCCAATTGAGCAAACAGTGGCAAACAGATATCAGACTTAGACATCTGAAGAGGCACTTGTGAGCTTTAACAGCTTTGTGAAGCTAGCCCTGGGTCTTTACCATGAAGAGTTTGACTATTTACAAGGGTTGGTTTCCCTGTGATGCCCAAATTTAGTGCTTGCTCATGGTGGCCTTCCTCCCACATTTTTCTGTAGTACAGCAGGCCAAATTTGGGGGAGGTGATGCATTCTGGGTATGTTTTCTTTTTTTCCTGTGAGAACACACTGTGCTGCTTTCAAAACAGTTTTGCTGTCCCTCCATTAACTTTGCAAGATTCTGAAACGATGTTCACATGCTGACACATTGGATGCATCAGTCAGGGTGCCAAGCAGGGCAACAGCATCAGGATGCTAGCAATAGCATTAGGAGGGAATTGGTGAGATATTTGATACCCTGCTTTATATTTTTCTTTCTTTCTTTCTTTCTTTTTTTTTAGCTGTAGGGGTGGGGGGAACTCTAAATCTTCATACGGAATTTGAGATCTGTTGAAGTAAGAATTTTTCCCACTATCTCTAATTCTTCAGGCTGACCCTTTTAACCTCCTCCTTGTGCTTCCTCTGTGCACTCTCTTCTTTCAGTTGACTTAATTCAGGATTTGAAACAGTCACTGGGTGAAATGCAAGTGAATTAACCCATTACAACATTCTACAAGAGAACATGTATTGAGACCACGGAGCGGCAACTCACCTTAAGTTGATGAAATACAGACTTCAGTGCCTGTGTTTCTTTGTCACTTCCTGGAACAAGCCTTATTACTTTATCACTGTTGATAAAATAACATTGAATTTAAGCTTTAATGACTCTTTTCAACAACAAGACGCAGCAGTAAATATAGCTATGTAAAGAACATATTCATTATGTCTCTTTAAGCACTATTAAAATGACAGGTGATTCACAAATCTGCTTTCAAACCTGATCTCACTTAACTCTGCCCTTCCCTATAAGTAAGCTGATTAATTATAGGTACAGATAAGGACACCTATTATTAAAATTGTCCATCACTACCCATTATAGGGACTGTTTTTTCAGTTACTTCAAATTTAACCCTTCAAAGTTAAGCCCTGAGCTTGATTCCCTCTCCCTCTTTTCACTCAAAAATTTCAGCAAAAGTGTTTCAATTGTTTAAGAGAACAAGAAACAAAGGGAAGATACACATCAAAATTCTGAGAGCCTTTAAAAAACTGGTGGAGAAGAGACTTGCAATTTGGCAGAAGTGTTGGCTTCATAACAGATGTACCTTTTGCTATTTCTGAGAGAGTCTCTGCTCAAATTTTGCCAAGTCAAAAGCCTTTGACAAAAAATAACAGTTCATATCAGCAGAGACCTAGATTTGAGGAGCTTACTTTCCTAGACATTCCATCTTTCCTGAGCAGGGCTCCGCCTGCAGTGGCAGCTCTGGGTTGCTACAGGGCGTGCCAATGGGCATCTGAACTGAGAGCAGGAGAAAAATCACTCTTGTTCTATGAAAACCTTAGTGAGACTAGGCAGGAAGGTGGAGGAAGTTGCTTGATTTGAATGAAGAGGGGATCTGCAAGCGGGAAGAGGATGTAGATTGGAACAAGAATCTTGGCCTGCTTTAGGTTAGCTGGATGGGTACATGATGGATATAACAATAACCTTCAGAACCAATTCTTGCTGAGACTTTTGGCACTCCTCCACAGCTAGCAGCTCTAAAGCTGGACAGGTGCAGAGATAGTTGTGTCTTTGGACTCCTAAAATGCTCTGTTTTATGTTGGCCTCTGGATTACGGGTGCCTCATGCAAGTGTCTGGCTATAGGATTATCCTCCTGCTGTGTGCTTCTCCAGCTTCTTTTGGGGAGAAGAGAATTCCTCCCCCTATGAATACTTCCAGTGTTGACTTGGATTTTCATGACTTAAATTGACGCATTCTTCCCTGTGCAACCCAGGCGGTATACTCCAAGAGGTACTCCCTCTCCAATTGAAGGGATCAGAGCAAGTGTACAAGTGCTGTGGGAAGTGTAGGGACTCTCCTCTGCCTATAGAGAAGAGCCAGACCACCACTGGGGACTTAACCACATACCTTTTAATGAGAGAACAATACTGGGAACATAATCAGTATAAACCAGGGGGTATAGGGGACACTACAATGCCCTGAGGGGGCAGGATTCAACACAGGTTAGACACTTACAATCACAGGCATAGCCATGCAGTTGACAATAGACAGGGTTAACCAAAATGTAAAACAAACAGCAGAACAAACAATACTGGTTGGCGAAATATAAACGGCACAAAATACAAAATGTCAAATGAGAAGGAATATAGGGCCTGGGTACCTGGAGGGGGAGAAAGGGGGGAAAACACAATGACCCCTTTCCACTGCAAGAAGAATTCCTCCCTGTTAGCTCACTCACCCCAAGTCACAACTTGAACTCAGATCTCCCACATGGCAGGCAGAAACTCTGCCACACAGCCACCAGTGCTAGCACTGCTCTAGGCTGCTAGGGGTCTTGACTTTCCCGTAGCTCCAGCCTCATGTCAAGCTGCCTGGCCTCTTATTGGAGGAGCTGGAAGCAGGGCTGGGAACCTCTCAGGTCGCTGCTCAGATCCTTGCTGGAGCTGGGATGTCTGTCCTGCTGGCCATAGCCTCTTGTAGGGGATCCTGGAGCCAGCGGGGAGCCTCTCCTGCCGGCCACACACCGCGCTGCTGAGGGTCCAACTGCTGCCTGCAGGTCCCACTCCTTCAGGCTCTTCTGGGGCAACTGCTGCCCTGCTAGCCCAGCTCTTTGCCAGCTCTTTGAAGCTCCTTCTTGGTGGTCCCTCACTGGTCTCTCCTGAGTCAGCTGCGCTGCCCCTTTTATCCCCCTCCAGGTGACCCACAGGGCCAATCAGGGGACATGGAGGGTGAGTCTCTGGGGCCTGATTGGTGAGGAAAAGGAATCCCAAGTCTTCCAATCATCTTTTGCCCTTCAAAACCTCTGGGCTAAGTCACTGCCAGCCAGCCCGTCACATCTGTTTCACTTCTGCCCAGAGGAGAGGATCAGTTTAGCAGTAGTAAAATTGAAGAGTGCTGTTCTTTACAAATTGATACAATTTGGAAACTCTATTAGTGCCAGTTAGTGCTGGAATTGCCCCCTGACTTGGAGAATCAGTGCTCCATAAGTCTGTTTGCAAAGTCAGTTTGTATTCATCAGGACAAGCAATGTCTCTTTAAAAAGCAAACAAACAGCAAAACAGCTTCATTTGGCAGAAGTTGGTGTAGGGCTCCACAGCCTAGAACAAGTTTTCCTTTTACAATTGGTGAGAAGCCATACAAAATTTTCAAGCTATGATTTAGTAGGATGAGTTTGAGTTTGTGTAAACACAATTGAAAGCATTTGCCGACACCCTTCTAAGCAAACAGCAGTACACAGGGTGTATTAAACAAAATGACCAGAAGAGACTGGTGGATGAGGCACAGTAGCCAGACCTTGACATCCGTGGAGATTGCTCTGTTACTAAGCAAAATGAATAGCTAGCTCTGTTAGTGGGCACCAGCACAGACCACTTTTTTAAAACAGTAGTGAATGCCACAGCTGCTTCTGGCCAGTATTTCCCTCCCCTATGCTGCTGCAGCAGAGAAAAGGAGAGACAGAGAGAGAGAAATTCTTGGTTCGCTGGTTGCTCATCTTTGATCATATTAGGAAGATTCATTGATGCATTTCTGCATAATATATGTACCTTTTAATAGGGTTGGAAGTACAGCACTCCCCTTTTCTACTAAAGAGACTTTATTAATGTAAATTCTTGAGGAATTTCCTCACTTCTTGAGGAAAAACCCTGGCTAGGGGTAGAGAGGCAGTACGAGGATTTGTTTTTATGTTAGGGGTTTTATTTGTCTGATAAACTCTCCCCCATATCATTCTAAAATTATACAGCCTTTTCTAGTACTTTAGATACAGTTTAAAGAATAGCATGTTACAGTTCAAATGCATATAGAGAAAATCAGGGAGAAAAAGTCACTTTAAAGCATTTGTTCCCTAAAGACAGCTTGAAAAACTGTTACTTCAGAACGACTTTCCTCTATGTGACTACTAGTCCACACAACTGGTCAAGCAAGGTAAGGTGCTAACAAACTGAAGAATACATATGAAAAGTTATTCATAGTATGGGAGCTTCTAAGGCTGTAGTTCTCAACCTCACTGGATTCAAGGCACTCTTCAGAAACAGCCTGCCATCCCATCCTTCTCTCAGCTCTGCAACCTAAGTGGCATCTAGCCACACATAAGCAGAGGAGAGAGAGAAAAAAGAAACGCCCCCTCTCCACCCTCCCTCCATACCTGCCCCATCAACAAAATCCAACAATTAACAAAGCATATAAGAGTACAACAGACAAAATATGCAGGAAAGAAGAATAAAAGGAAGCAAACCAAAGGAGAGGGCAGAGGAAGCAAACAAGAGGAGTGCTGGGACTATCTGTGTAAGAGCATGACATGAAGATCATTCAATCTGTATTCATGGGAGAATCTTAAAAAATGTAGGAACCCTTCCAATTGTCTGTTTAAACAAAGCAGTATACACCAGTGATGCATGACATTTTGGTTCTGTGGACCTGATCAGTGGCACAAGTTCCACAGGCCAGATTGGACCCCATGTGCCAGGATCAGGCCCTGCACTGCTTCCACCCACCCCTGTACACCTGGATTGGGCCCCAAGCTTCCTCCATCTAGTCCCTATGTGCTCAGTTCGAGCTTCATGCCATCACCACCTGACCCTGTGTGTTCAAATTGGGCCAGTGCTGCCCCTGCCCTAAACACCCAGATTGGGCCCTGTGCCACATGGTCTAGTTTGTAAGACCATGCTATCTGGTCTATGGGGCTTCACGCAAGTCTGGAAATCTGGCAGCAGGGGAGTGGCAATTAACACTGCTACCATTCCCCTACTGCCCAATTTTGGACCCGTGGGGAGCCCTGTAGGCTGGATGACACTGCTCTGGGGGCTGGATCTGGCCCGTGGGCCAGGGGTCGAGAATCCCTGATATATAGTAACTTTTATTTAATTCCTGAAGCAGGCACAATTAACATGTTTGCACTAAATATTGATAATTTTCTGGCTTGAGTGTAATGTTCATTTTTTTAAATGAACTATTCCAAGCATGCCCACATTCATTGTACCAAGAAGCCATCATTGCAAAAGCTGTTAGTATTAGGGGTGATGTGTAGGGGGTGCACACGGGTGCACGTCCACCCCGAGTGTGGTGGTGCACTCCCTATAAAAAGGCACCGCAAGTGGTAGCCACCCCACCGTCAACACTGCCGGCGACGTCTGCAGGTGGTCCATGATCACCGCTAGCCATCACCGATGCTGCTGGCGACACCTGCGGGTGGTCTCTGACCCCCGGTTTTGGTGCTCACTATCCCCCTCCCCACCGCCGTCAGCACTGGTGGCACCTGCAGGAGTTTCCCTGCTTAACACCACTGAGCTCCCACCACCGCTGCTGCGCTCCTGCCACCGACAGTGCAGCCGTGCCCCCCCAGCCACCGGGGGCACGTGCCATTCATGATTAGTATAGTGGCAGCTGCATTTCAACTTGATGTCTTTATTTGTAGGGGTTCATAAATTTTGCAGATCAACTGTTTACTTTTCCATGCCACAAATCTACAAAGAAACTTTGTGGCTTTCTAAGTTTTTAAAAGTTTTTTTCAAAATCGGTCCAGCTAATTTCCAATTCCATGCACATAGCCAAACAGCAGCAACAGTAATTCTAGCTGCAATTTACTTTATATTCTGTTCATATTAACTTGTTTCTTGATTTTACTTAGATCT